AGTTTTTAGCAAAAGGTGAGTTGACTTATGGTGGCTAGTACACTACTCTACGTGTGATTTCAGACATTTTCTTTAAAAAAATATTTTGAGATCTAAAAATACATTAATTTTATCTTGTACTTTATTGTCCTACAATTCTTGATTTTAACTATCAAAGAAAACACAAGTGTAATAAAAAATATAAATTCAAATGATCTTCCAAGAATAATAAATATAGAAGAATTTACAATTAAATTATCATTTAAGTAAGAAAAATGTAACCCTTAAAACAACTCCATAGTTAACTATGAATATTTTAAATAAGTGATATAAATTCGCGGAGTTTCTTTCACATAGTCGTTAAGTTTATTCCTGAGGTAGTCTGAAGCGGGTAGTGGGAGCTTTGCACTCTTCCTTTACGACCCACGTGTTATGAGCGAACCCTGAATCGATACGATAAATGAGATTTAGAACGGCAACTTACCTCTTTATAAAATATATAAAATTTATGAAAATTTAACATACGTGTCGGCGCAACAACATTTAAAACTATTATAGGAGTTAGTTGTTTTATAAGTATTTTACTTCATGACGTTAATGATTAGTTTAACAAAATATTTGTTTTATAGATCGTTGTTACGGACGCGCTGCAAATTAAGAAAAAAAAATGAACATAGCCGGGGCGACATCTTTGTATCGGTAAAATATCATATATCGAGTGACGCCGCTGACTCCGCGGAACCAACACCAAGCCGTGTGAACCAGAAGATTCCACATACCACACAAGCAATACAATGTCATTGTCATCCTAACATCGGGGCAATCATGTAGTCTTAGGTATAGGTTATAAGTTTCAATATGTAATTTTTATTTTAATATACATATAAGAATGTTTCGTAATTTTTCTGGAACCTCCGGATGCCACCCTATATAATTTCGTTTTGTGGTTTGTTTTGAAGAATAATAAATGTTAATTATCATCGTTATTTATAATATGTGAAGAGAAGTTATTCTGTAAGTTTTATTAAAACACAACCATAAACAGTGCCCATTTGGTAATCAATGCAATTCAATTAAGTTTTCTATAGAATATTAGGTGACAATATAAAGTTTAAAGCAGTTACTATGTTCTACATTACAATCAAGAATTCTAATAACGCGTAAAAACTATCTGTAATCTATATATTACAGTAAATTATACAAAATAACTTTAATGTAAACGTATCTTTATACATAAAACAAAAGAAAAATCATTGAAAGAATCTCCTTTGTCATAAAAGTAGTCAGATAAGGCGCGACAAACAAACAAGTCAACTTGATATCGCCATCGATTTAGACAGATATAAATATATTGAAATGATTTTCATGTCAGCCTGTATGTGTTGTTTGAAGTCATATGATGTGGGGTTTTCGATTGATTATTTTAGATTTAACGTCTGATTTGAGACGATTTCCATCATTAATGTCATAAGTGTCAATAAAATTGTGTGTTATTTTGTTATAAATGGTTAAACATACATGCATTTAATAATATATATTGCAGTCATAAGCATAGTAACGGAGCCTTAGATTTAAAATAATAATATTTTTAATAGAATTTAAATCCTAAATTGTAAGTCATATTCATTTAACGATGTAAGTCTGTCGGTGATTCTCTGTGAGCTCAAAAAACATTTATTTTGTTTCTGGAAACAGAAAAGTTTTTTAAAATGTTCATTAAAATTAAAAGGTTTGAAATACATTATTTATTTCGGGGTCAGAAGAGGGTTGCTTCTTGTATTATTTTCTATTGTTGGGGAATAATTGATTAGAATGAAGGAATGCGTGAACGAGTGGACTGTATGAGATATTTTTCGTATTTGTTTGAATTCTCGACAAAAAGTACATTTTATGTATTTATTATATACTCGTACTACAGCAATATAAATTGTATGTCATTTGAGTTCATGTTATTACGCTTATACGAATATATATTTTTAAAACGATTTTACATAAAATTTATTCATATTATCATCAACATTTTACAATGAAAATCGAGTAACTTATTTATTCTTTTAATAGTATATTAGAAATAACTGGAACATTTGAAGTGATAAAACAAATCGTAAATAAATACGTGACTCTGTTAATGCTGGGAACATCTGCGTACGATTGCAAAATTTTTTATTTACTTTGTGAACGGCGAGAATACTAACGAGGATACATTATCATAGAACGTTATTTTTTGTTAATGTGACATTATAGGAACGGGTCCCTGTATATCATTCATCGGCTATCGAGAAAATATGACGTCATATGAAATGTCCATATATTCCTCATATTAGGTATGAAATATTAAATAATAGAAGCTTATAAAATATAAATATTTAGTGTATGCTTAACGCAGTAATACCGTCAGCTTTCTGCCGTACAAAATTATTCACCGGCTGAAAAGGTAAAAGTTTGCGAAGAAGTGAATCTTATTTAAAAATCTTAAAGGTTTTAAATATTGTTAAAAACTTAACATATAAGTCATCAAATAAAATAATGAAATTTGTTATACAAAATTTGCTAAAAATATTTCACACAAAAAATATTTTTCTTTCTCTTTTCAAAAAATTTGTATATTTATTATAAGTAATTCTATTAATGATTTATTACAAGGTAACTAATGAAAGCACTGAACAGCTTCTTAAAGTAAATATAAATTGAATTAAGGGACAACTGAACTTTTCCATTACAAAACTATTACACACATCCCCATACGTCGTGGTTTGTTGACTAACTACTTATTAGAGTTTATTGTACTACACAACTTTTAATATTGTAAAATAAATAATAAATAAATATGTCAGTAATTAATAACTTTACGCCAAGTCTTTTAATTTCTCTTTCATTAAATTAGACATTCAACATATCTTTCTACTTTTTACTATAATAGAAAACAGAAGTTTTAAAATAATAATTTGATATTGTTGTACCAAAGGTTACGTATCATGATTTGAAATTATTTTAGCTTCAACGGTCCTTGGGATCCTAGGAAAAAGATTCTTGGAAGGCACACAATTGGACTACAAAGTGATCTTAAAGAATTCCTGTTTCGATTAGGTCATGGGGCATATAGTGTACTCAAAAAAAACCTTTTTTAAGTGTACTAGAGCATAACAACGATTTCATTAAGTATAATTGGCCCTCCGATATTTTTATATTAATATTTTATATTTCGATAAATTATGTATCGACTAAGTAACGAGGCAAGCAGTCAAGTTATTGTAGTTCATAAGAAAATAATTTATTTCGTATGATTATAATACATTAAAATATTTATTCATTCTTCTAAGTAATCTAGTCGATATTCAATTTTGACTTTTAGATGTATGGTGTAAATTATAAATGTATAATATATTTCATATCGATATTTCATTATAGACTTATAACTATAGTATATAGTCGAGATCAATTGAAAGACATTTCTTGGTTACTAAATTTGTTTCTCATACCTATTAAATTTCCGATTCAGAATTGCCATAATTCTTGTGGTAGTCATTTAAACTAAACATTCCTGACTTATCAAAGAGGTATACATTTTTTGTATGTTTGACTTCATGCCAGAAAAGTACAACAAAAAGAACAATGGATTGGATTTATTTGAAAAATAACGGAGTTTCAAAATCTGTTCAGACGTGTTTTTTTAAAGATGTTTTAATATTTTAACAAATTAAAAGGTGAAATGAAAGTCAATGCTAAAACAGGTAGATTGAACACTGTTAAACTATAAAACAAGACTTAAAATAAAATATTAAAATATTTTCATGCAAATAAGTTGTTTATTGCTCAACATGTCTTCTATTTTCAATTGATATTTTGGTAATAAAATGTACATTATTTAGAACATAATAGATTCCTAATCATCAATTTTAGTTTCAGATAACTACTAATTAGATCGATGTTGCAAGCTTGTCTGAAAGTTTTTTTACTTATCCTGCAATCGAATAATACATATAAATAATTTCACGTCTTAAAGATTACAACAATGCGAATTGGACTGTCATATATCTTTGAATATTTATCAAAATATAGCTTTTTTCACAGACCTGTTCTTCATGAGTTGGACCTGATCGAGTTTAATTATAAATTATTTTCACATTTTAACAACCTTCCTCAAACTCGAACACCGTCTTTCAAAGGCTTTGTAACGGCTACGACAAATAGTATTCACAAAGCTGTGGCGCGCACTTAATACTTATTGTGACGTGACTTTATTTGCCCTTTTAATACGAATATGTTTTAAATATTTATAAAAAGGTAAAGTAGAAAGTAATTTTTTTTTAATGTTAAAGGGGGCAACCGAGCAGATGGCCTACATGATGGAGGTAGTACTCCCACCCAAGGACATCCGCGACATAAGACTTGCTGAGGATGTGTCACCACCCTTGATTTGGGAAGAGGGGGGGGGTTAATGGAAAGGGGTAGGAAAGTATGGGAAAAGGAAAATGACAAATGGCACTCCTACTCATCGGACGAAACTCAGCCATTAAGACTACTTCACGCCGATCTTCTGTGTGAGGGTGGTACTTCCCCAGTCGAGCCAGCCAATGTTCGAGCTGCAATCACTTGATCACTTGACCTAGGCTCTACCACCCTGAAAATTAATCCGTAGCATATAATTAAAGACTCTGTATTTTATTTGACATACTTGTATAGTATATAAATTAAAAAAAGAAAAATTTGCTTTTTCAGCCATTGAAAATGAAGAACAAACACGTAGTGGTTTCTTTCATACGATAAATAATTCCAAAAAGATATTTATTAATTGAATTGAACAGACTATTATCACAGTATGCTTAAAATAATAAATACTAATTAACTTAAAATTTGATGAAAATAACCGATATCTTTATATATGAGATTAGTTTGGCAATCTTCAATTATATATTCAAGAAAAAAAATGCTCCAGGACATTACAAGACTTGAAAATGAATGACAAAAAAAATATTTTATTATAAGATCAGATATTTCTTAAATACATATTTGTATTCCAGATGACTCTCCCAGATCAGAGTAATTTAGTAAGATGGGGTAAAAGTACCGAAAAAACTTGCTATATCTGTGGAAAGGCAGTTGGAACTGCTAAGCATCTGCTGGTGGGATGTAAGGTACTCCTTGACAGCGGTCAATACTCGCGTCGTCACGATAGGGTTCTAGAAGTCATACGTGAAGCGGTTAGTCTTTCGGTAGCAAGAGCGCAAAAGGGAATAACCACAAACGAACGATCAGTAGGTTTTGTGAAAGAAGGCACTAGGGCTACAAAATCAAACGTCAAGCCTTACTCCATCCTTAAAGCGGCGTCGGATTGGACTATAATGATGGACACGTATGAAAAACAATATAAAATCCCCGAGGATATTTGTGCGTCGGCCTCCAGACCGGATATATTTTTGTTTTCGCGAATTTTAAAGCGCGTAGTGATGATAGAGCTTACGGTCCCTTGGGAAACCAACATCCCCAAAGACCATACCATCAAGGTCAACAAATATTACGAGCTCACAAACGAACTCACTCGAAATAGGTTCGTAGTAGATTTGTACGCGGTAGAGGTGGGAGCGAGAGGTATAACAGCGAAATCTCTCTACAACCTACTAAAGGACTTGGGCTTGTCCAGAACTCACATTAATGCATTCTTGGAACGTACATCGAAGGCAGCCCTAGTAGGTTCTTTTCAAATTTGGTTAGGTAGGGAGAGGAGCTTGGACAGTGGAGGTGAGCGTATAACGCGCGTTAGTTAAGGGGCCCCTTAAACCTACACTTGGGTCGCAAGTCCCAGGCACTGTTGAAGCTCCTCCCCCTGCAACGCGATGGACCCGGCACCCGCACGGTGAATCCATGGAATGCTGAGAAGTTTCGTCGTCATATATGTTCACAATACCTTATAACAAGATATGTTATGACAGGCATAAAACTTGTCTACTACTAAATGTCCCAAATAGAAAATATCATTAAGGCAAAACTTATAGATTACAATTAGAAGATAAAAACCTTGGTGTCTCCAAATACCATAAAACAACTGGTAAAATAGACAAAATAATATTTACTCCACAAGGTAACTAAAAACTTAACACACAATTAATTTAATTAATTAAAAAACAATTTAAGCTGTATTATAGTTTTATTTGTTCCAATAATTAAAAACTCAACTAAGAAACGCTAACACCAGACGGAAGAAATTTAAAAAATTCAATAAAGTTTACTTTAAAAATAAATATCTTAAAGAAGAATACACATAAAAGAGAGAAGAATTTTAAGAACAGAAAAAGGAATTTTAAGTCATTTATCGAGGTTTAGTTGTAATAAAGGAAAGATAGTAATACTTTAAAGAATACCGTAAATTATTTATATAAGAAATCGATACATCTTCCAACAAGAAGCTGTATCAAAGCAGAAACAGAAATTTCATTATAAACAGTCTCATCTGCGCCCAGCATTATGTAGGTAGAAATAAAATTCCCTACAAAAACCCAAGAGATGAAATAGCTCCAAGAATTATGAAATACTAAAACAAACATAACAAATAATAACACATTTTGTCCTAAAAATATTTAATAATATTATTTACTTAATGAGATCTAAGATTTTCGCGAGTCCTCATTTAAATGAAACTAATATTTTTCGGATTTTACTTCGCGTTTTATTTTAGAAAACTACATACTCCCGACGTTTCGGCTATATAGGATTTCGAAATCGATGGCGGTAGGAGATAAAATGGCCAGATCAACTGACAGACACTCACATCTCGTCTGCCCGTGATCAAGGTTGCTGAAAAGTAGCCGAAACGTCGGGAATATGTAGTTTTCTAAAATAAAACGCGAAGTAAAATCCGAAAAATATTAGTTTCATTTAAATATTATTTACTACCTAGAAACCATTTTATGCAACAAAATAAACCCAATATAATTCTAATATACCTAATAAACAAAACAATAGTTATGCAAATACTTGCAAAGATCGTAATCTAGAGATTAAAGGTAAAGTCTACAATAAACAGGGTATTCTTTCATATTCACGTTAGGCGAAGAGAAATATACGAAAATATCATACATTAAGGCCTCGGCCTCGAATTTTGCGGGCAGCGGAGCGGCAGCGGGAGGGGCAGGATCTTACGCGTATAATCAAATGGACCGACCCTCGAATACAGCGGTGCCCGCTACCCGTTAGTTTGGAGAACAGTATGCGTTTCCGTGCCGCCGCCGCTGCCGCTCCGCTGCCCGCAAAATTCGAGGCCGAGGCCTAACTATCCACCCTTTATCCAATTAGGTACAGGGAATTGTAAGTTAAAACATACAATTATTTTGAAAACATTTAAACAAAGAGATAAAAAAGGTACAATATTAATCAGAAATACTACATTATTAATACTCTCACTTAAAACACGAAAAAGTGTTCTGAATTTCCGAAGCCTTTAATCAATTACTTTGGACTTAAATATCCACGGCATAAAATTCCTACATTTTTTTTTACGATATAACAAGCTAGTAACTAAAAGATAACTAAAATAAGTTGAAAGAGGCATTGTAAATAAAACAAATATATCTGAATATTGATTTATATTTAAATTTACACTTTATATAATATACATGACTTAAGAATAAAAATAATACATGCGGTTCACTATTTTTATATACAAAAATAATGAAGAATTATTCTAAAATGATTATTTCTGTAGCTTTATAGTTTTAGTTAATTAATCTTTTTCAAACATATATCAAGTAAAAAATAATTAATAATATAAATATATTTAAAACCTTAAGAAATTGAAAATATTCTGATTGTACCTAATGGAATCTTAAAGACAATCTTTTACATTTACAAAACATATAATTTACAATAGATCTAGATCATATTTATCTAATAAGTTGTCTAGAATTTTTCCATTCCTTTCGTTTGATGATTATATTGTAATATAAATTAAATTTGCTAGTGTGGAGTTGATGCTATTAGTACCATAACTTTAATATAGTCCAATAAGAATTAAGCAAGTTGGTATGAAATTCCAAATATTATTGTCATCAGCCTATCAGAGCCCACTGCTGAGCAAAGGTCTCTTCTAACGTGCAGAAGGTTTGAGCATTAATCACCACGCTTGCTCAAGACATGTTGGTGATTTCAAACTTATAATTATGAAATTATAAGACCAGGTTTGCTTACGATGTTTTCCTTCACCGTCTGTCAGTGGTGTCATGTGGTGTCTAGGTACATATGACTCGGAAAAAACACATTGGTTCTTGCCAGGATCGAACCCACGACCTCGCCGCGTCCAAATAATATATTCATAGTTATGGTAAAAGTGAGAAATACATATATATTTAAACATATTTTTTTATTACAGTAAAAAGTTATTCAATAGAAACCCTAAAACTAACAGTTTTTCGCAAATAAAAATATAAAAACCAGAATAATAAATTTGGAAAACCCAAGAAAACTTTGTTTTTCTTCAACAGTTATCAGATGAGACAAAAACAAACATATCAAGTCCAACATCGGCCACGTTTCAACCTAATAGAAAAATGTTGTATGATGCTATTGAAAGATTATCTAAATGAAACATTGTCGAAACTGTTATAAAAAATAAATTAAATAAGAGTATATTTCTATCTATCGTTTAACTGTCGGTTATTCGGTCTCCTAAACGTTCCTTTTCAAGTAAAAAATACGTTCCCTTTATTAGACAAGACACAAACATTCCGACTGCCGTTGATCACTAATAACCCTCACCATGATAAACATTACTTACTTATTTAAACGATTACTTTGACGATATATTTTTTTCACATTCATTGCTGGTTTAAATGATTCTTTATTTATAATCAAAATACAAAAACAAGAATTCTAAGTACGATATTTATTTTTCTATGTACGTCAAAAACTTGTTTAAATTAGAAATGGAAGAAAAATTTAGAATTAAATGATTATGAAACTTAACGATTACCCATATAAATGGCTTTATTATTATAATACTTTGATGTCGATGTCATACAAAACGAGCAATGTATATAATTCATTGCGGAATGATAGTGATGTAAGTCGATATCATCGTGTAAACACATAGGATTATTGAGGCCATGTACGAAGTCTCGAGTGCTCTCCTGAGCTGGAATATCAATTTAGTTTGAGACGCAGTAATTATAGCTGTTACATTCTGTTTTTATTTCATTCAATACACGTTATCACGAAAATTAAGAGGTATTTTTTCGAAATAGATTACGATATTTTTTATGTATCGTAAGATTAAATAGTAATACATATAATAAAAAAATAAAAATATTTGTATGAAAGTAGATTATGTAATAATTAGTAAACATATTGATTTATTATATATTATGTACTTATTTTTTCTCATTAATCAGAGGAAAATAACACATAATTCATGTATTAAAGAAGAAAAATTTCTTTTATAGAAGACTTGCTTAGTTAAAGCATCACTTAAAAGGTTATATAACAAAAATGAGAAAATTTCTATCTTTTGTTACAATATACATATATTCCCAAGTATTATAAAATACTATATCTTTTATAAAGTTTAAGTGAATATCTTTCATTATTTATTAGTTTTTCAAGGGTTCATACGAAATATACCCAAAAAATGAAATTGAATGGCATAATAGATTTACTTATAAAGAAACTGTTAGGACGGAGGCTGATATGTGAACGGACCGATCGCTATTTTATTACGTATTTCAATGAATATGTGATATGGGATTTTGTACTCTTTGGGTTATTGCTTAAATTTATAGTCTTTTGACCTTTTGATAAATTGGTATTGAATATACTCGAAAAACAGAAAATACGATTAATAATATCCTTGTTTTAATCAGTTTAAAACTTTTATTTGTAATAGATTATGTAGATATATTACGTTACTATGTACTAATTAATCGACATCCATAAGACTTTATGAGGCTTAAATTTATGTAATATTCTAATACGTATGAGTATAAACGAAAATTATGACTTTAAATAGCCATAGAACCATTATCTGTAGGCGCTGAAGCTATAAACATTATAACATAAATGAGATAAGCTTTACAACGTAAAGAATAGTAATGTAGAATATTATAATTATTATTAGTAATAAATGAACGGTTTCAATTTGTTTTGATTATAAAGAATATCTATAGAATCTTTTACTTAATTTCTTCATAGAGACAGTGTTGAAAACTCTTGATTGATTTTTATTTTTAATTTTATTTGGTGAACAAATAAATGTGTCATTGTTGTAACTTAAACGCAACACATGATAGTGACGTTCCTGACTCAACGGTCAAACACCAGGTCAAACCAGGTCAAACACCAGGTCTTCTGAACCAAAAGGTTCCTGATACCCTATAAAAAATTTGGGAAAGGGATTGCTTTGCTTTTCTGAAATAAAAGCAATCAATAAGTTTTCAGCATTCCATGGATTCTCAGAGGAGCTTTAACAATATCTGGGATTTGTGACCTAGGTGTTGGTTTAAGGGGGCCCCATCTAAAGAGCGTCAAACACTCACCTCCACCGTCTGAGCTCCTTTCTTTATCTAACGGAGTTTGAAATTAACCTACTAGGGATGCCTTCGAAGTGCTTTCCAAGTATAAACTGATGTTAGTTCTGGATAGGGCCATTCCTTTAGTCGGTTGTAGGACATTTAACTGTTATAATTCTCGCTTCCACTACTACCGCGTACAAATTTACGTATTCTTTTGGAGTTCGATAGTGAACTTGTACTGCTTTTGACCTTGAGAGCATATTTGAGGA